ATCTGGATATTGCAATCTGTTCACTGTCCAATTACAGCTTCAGATGATGAAGTCCCATCCTTCTTGTTTTCTCTCTTCAGTCCACCCTTGTTCATGCTTCTGGGCCTGAAACTTCTAACGACTGCCCTTGGTATCAAGCTAGAAAAGGAATTGTTTTGTCTACCTACTCTGTGAAGAGAGCTCACTAACACTTAATAGGAAGTTCCAAACTGTAAACCCAGGCAGTGCAGAATATGAAAGATGAAAGCTAAAACTTAAGGCAACACACCCTGAGGGGCTGTAGAATCCAGGAATTCTGGGTGGGAATGAGTAGAATTCAGTGGCATTGAGTGCTTTTGAGGTGACAGATTGAACCCTCTCATCTCTTTGAGTGACAAGAAATGAAGAAAACTACAACAGATAGCACCACAATCCCCAAGTCCTCCCAAGTATCTCTTTTAATCCCAGATTCCCTTAAAGCAGTAGAAAGTGAGGCTTTAGATGCCTTTGATGAATTTGCAGACTTTTACCCCAGTTTTGTCTGTTTTAAAGGGATGAAAATGAATCAAAAGATAGAACCAAAATAAAATGGCCACCAGCCCAGTGTGTTCCCAACACAGATCACTGGGAATGTGGGTCATCAGAGCTCTGCCCAACGTGGGTCCTCTGATGGGGGATGGAGCCAGGGAAGCGCACGAAGCTCTTCCTGCACTTGGGGCACTCACAGGGCTTCCCTTACCGGTGCCTCTGTTGGTGTTTGATCAAGGCAGAGCTCCTGGAGAAGCTCTTCCCACACTGGGGACACTCGTAGGGCCTCTCCCCAGTGTGGATGCGCCGGTGGGTGATGAGGTTGGAGTTGTGCTTGAAGCCCTTCCTGCAGTCAGGGCAGCGGAAGGGCCTCTCATCCGTGTGAATCCGCTGGTGCACGAGGAGATTTGAGCTGGTCTGAAAGCTCTTCCCACACTCGGAGCACTCATAGGGCCTCTCCCCAGTGTGGATCATCTGGTGAATGGTCAGCAGGGACCTCTGGCGGAAGGTCATCCCACATTCCCCACACACATAGGGCCGTTCCCCAGTGTGGATCCTCTGGTGGCAGATCAGGCTGGAGCTCTGGCTGAAACTCTTCCCACATTCCCCACACTCGTAGGGCCTCTCCCCAGTGTGGATGCGCCGGTGGGTGATGAGGTTGGAGTTGTGCTTGAAGCCCTCCCCACAGTCAGGGCAGCGGAAGGGCCTCTCATCCGTGTGAATCCGCTGGTGTACAAGGAGAGTGGAGCTCCTCTGAAACCTCTTCCCACACTCAGGACACTCATAGGGCCTCTCCCCAGTGTGGATGCGCTGGTGATGGATGAGTTGGGAGTTGCAGCTGACGCCCTTCCCACATTGCCCACACTTGTAGGGCCATTCCCCAGTGTGGATCATCTGGT